GAAATTTTGTCTACTAAAAGAAACCCTCGTGTAGTCACAAAGTATGTGCATTCGGATGAGACCACATTATATGGGAGCGTATATTCGGCATCTCGGAGTTTTTTAATCTTTTAAACCTCAGAAGACTGTTTTTTTTACACGCCCACATTTGTTTGTTAACAGTCTACAGGTCACAATTTTTATCCGATTTCAATGAAACTTGAAATATAGGTTAATCACCCGAAGATCTCGGTCCCTTTCGATATTGGCATGTATCGGACTGTAACTCCATGGATTATGGCCGCTGATTGTACGAAAAATCACGTTTTTAGCTTGTGAACACTGTAGAGGTCACAATTTTTTATCCAATTTAGTTTAAACGTGAATTGTATGATTATAACCCAAAGATCTCGGTTCCTTTCGATATTCGCGCATATCGGAACGTAACTTCCTGAATTATGGCACCTGATTGTACGAAAAATCGCGTTTTTAGCTTGTGGACACTATAGAGGTCATAATTTTTATCCGATTTAAAAAACCGTATTATTATATCACCGTTAAACCCTAAGGATGGCTGAGTCCAAATTTTGTGAAAATCGGCCCGAAACTGACAGACAAAATGGCCGCCGTTCGTTCTCAAATAGCGTAAAAATATGGTATATCAGGGTTGTGGACCCTATAGAGGTCACAATTTTGATCCGATTTTGTTGAAACTTGACATTTAAGTTTATAACCCAAAGATCTCGGTTCCTGTCGATATTTGCGCATATCGGACCGTAACTTCCTGAATTATGGCCCCTGATTGTACGAAAAATTGCGTTTTTAGCTTGTGGACCCTATACAGGTCATAATTTTTATCCGATTTAAAAACGTATTATTATATCACCGTTACACCCTAAGGACGGCTGAGTTCGAATTTCGTGAAAATCGGCCCAAAACTGACAGACAAAATGGTCGCCCTTAGTTCTCAAATAGCGTAAAAATATGGAATATCAAGGTTTTGGACCCTATAGAGGTCACAATTTTTATCCGATTTTGTTGACACTTGAAATGTAAGTTTATAACCCAAAGATCGTGGTTCCTTTTGATATTCGCGCATATCGGACCGTAACTTCCTGAATTATGGCCCCTGATTGTACGAAAAAACGTGTTTTTAGCTTGTGGACCCTATAGAGGTCCCAATTTTTATCTGATTTTGTTGAAACTTGAAATGTATGTTTATAACTCAAAGATCTCGGTTCCTTTCGCGCATATCGAACCTTAACTTCCTGATTGTACGAAAAATCACTTTCTTTTTAGCTTGTTCTCTATCCATCTCTCCAAAATGTGAGCGTATCCTGCCTGGCAGCCGCTGGTATATTTCAGTGGGATTTTTCTGGTACAACCCTACCGAATATGTCCCTCAAAGAGTTCCTGGCCTCGATGAATCAGCTTTGTCGTCTATTACCTCATCATTAAAAGAATTAAAATCAATGAGAGTTTTCGTTACCACCGATAACGCGACAATAGGTAGACATATGCATCTCAAAAGTCGCCATTGAAATTTACGATATTTATTCAAATCACAAGGTTCTCCAGTAACGATATTATGCTAACCTGGCAACACATCTTAATTCAACCCCTCTTCTTCCATTGCAGGCCAAAAAATTCAATAACAATGAACGTGCAATAGGGTTGAGAGAAATAATTTCTACGAATAGACGAACTACCAATTGTGGGATAGCGAAATTTAATGGTCTGCCTCCTTTTGACCAAAACTTGCAATTCTCTCTTATTGACACTGCTTAGCGTCAGTGATACAATTGATAGTGACTGAGTAAAAAATACAGGACGATTTCTGAACTACCAGTACTTTTACAGTACGAATGGGTGTCTTTGGCATTAACATGCTACAATAAAACACAGTGCTTCTATAAATATTTAACTATGCGAATTTTTGCACTCCAAAAACTACCCCACTACTGATATGTTTTTTTCTTCAACTCGAGACCCCGGGTTTCCAGAAAATACAAACTTAGTTTAGTAGTGTGATCAGGTTGGAGAAATAACATTAAAGATAATGACCATATCAGTAGTGGGGTACTTTTTGGCGTGCGGATTGGACATAATCAGTGTTGACGTGTTGTTCTGTTCTATACATTGAATATCTTCTGTGTTAGAGGCCAGCTGTTTGTCCTTAGGTTGACCCCTGTCTGGGTCAAGGGTCATTAATTTCTAAATGTTTTGAAGTCTTTCGGTGTCCATCTCCTTTTGACCAAATTTTCGCATATCGGAACGTAACTTCCTGAATTATGTCCCCTGATTGTACGAAAAATCGCGTTTTTAGCTTGTGGACCCTATAGAGGTCTTAATTTTATCCGATTTAAAAAAACGTATTATTATATAACCGTTACAACCTAAGGCCGACTGAGTCCGAATTTCGTGAAAATCGGCTTAAACTGACCGACAAAATGGCCGCCCTTCGTTCTCAAATAGCGTAAAAATATGGTATATCAAGGTTGTGGATACTATAGGGATCATAATTTTTATCCGATTTTGTTGAAACTTGGAATGTGACTTTATAACCCAAAGATCTCGGTTCCTGTCGATATTTGCGCATATCGAATTGTAATTTTCTGAATTATGGCCCTTGATTGTACGAAAGATCACTTTCTTTTTTGCTTGTTCTCTATCCACTAGGTAATTCCCCGTTCCTCATTGAGTCACCAATCCCACCTGCGAATACGTACCGCTAATCTGTGAGCTCGCATCGTCGCCCGTTCGCGTCACACCCCTCGCATTTAACGGCAGGCTATTATTATATTATTTTGCAGTTTAGAAGTTGCATTAAATTATATGTTTGGATTGGGTAGTCGAATGGTTAACGCTCGCGTGCTGCAACATAAGTTCTGTCATTGAGTCAAGTGACGTAGTTTCCATTCCACGCTTGTATGTGATAAGGAGTAGAGTCGCCTGTCCAACCTCGGGCGAATTAATGAAATAAAATTGTTAGTCCTGAAATGACTTAGTTTGTTGAATAAATACTGTATTTTGAATATTAAATATATTCTGTTTCTGGTTATATAAATAATGACGTATTGCTGGAAACAAAATTGCTTATAATGATCCCATAACTGTTCTCTATTATTGATGTTAGACTAGAGATCAGATGATGGACGTTGTCAATATATTCACTATTGTATACAATACTATTGTTTATCTTTTGCAAGGAGAATAAAATAGGACAAACTATTTTCAAGACATATTTGACAGAGTTTACACGCGTGTCATAAAATAAAACCAAGTGCGAAAAATCCAAACCATTTGACACAATTCGAAGTCCTAAAAAACGCTATAGGCAAAATAGTGTAATCAGCAAATGATGCTTCGACCTTCGTAAAAAGTAACCCAACGGCAGTTGTCCAGTAAATACTGATTTATCCAGAAGCAGTCAGGCCTTCGAGTTATAGTTAGACAGTTGCCCTTTTGTAAATTTTAATTGTTTGTTTCTGAATACATATTTTGGTTTTTAACCACCATTAGGTTGTAACGGTTAGAACGGTTTTTAAAATCGGATAAATTGTGTGATCTTTAGAGCGCCCACAAGCGAAAAAAGAGACTTGTCGTATAATCAGGGGCCATAATGCATGAAGTTACGGTCCGAATATCGACCGGAGCCAAGATCTTTTGGATATAAACATACATTTTAAGGTTCATCAGGTATTACATACTTTTACACTATTTGCGTACGAGGTGCGGCTATTTTGTCAGACAGTGTTGGTCTGATTTTCCCGAAATTGTATCTCAACCGTGTAGGGTGTAACGGTGATATGTTTGAACCGTGTTTTTAAAATCAGATAAAAATTGTGTTTCCCGAAATTGTATCTCAACCGTGTAGGGTGTAACGGTGATATGTTTGAACCGTGTTTTTAAAATCAGATAAAAATTGTCACCTGTAGAGGAACCACGAGGTTAAAATATGATTTTTCGTACAATCAGGAGCCATAATCCATATATTTACCATCCGATACCGAGCACTGTGGGTTGTAAAAACCATTTTAAGTAACATCAAAATCAGATCACAATTGTGACCTCTAGAGGGTCTACAACCTTGGTATTACATGCTTTACACTATTTGCGTAAAGGGGAGTGGCTATTTTGACGGGAAGTTTCGGTCCGTTATTTCGAATCAAATACCAATTATGAGCTCTAGATGGTCCACAAGCTAAATCAGTGATTTGGGGTACAATCAGGGGCAATAATCCATGAAGTTAAAGTCCGATACAGATACGTGCAAATAACGTCAAAATCAGATAAAAATTATGACCTGGAGAGACAGTCTCGGTCCCATTTTCACGAAATTCAAACACAACTAGCTGAAATTATGGTGTAACGGTAATATATTTGAAAGGTTTTTAAACTCGGAAAAAAATTGTGACCTCTGGAGTGTCCGTCCATTTTGTCGAACAATTGTGGTCCGATTTTCACGAAATTCGAACTTAAGAAATGAATTATTAATCAATTTATATTTTGTGTTGGATAGAATAGTTAAATTTACCCAATGTTGCAAAAGGTTTCGATTAAAAGATTAAATCATTAACATTACCCATATATTAGGTGTTTTACCTAATTTACGGTAATGTTTTTATGCATTCTGTAACGATATTGCGGAAGATACGAGTTTTTGCCTCGAGAATTTAAATCGTTCCACTGGCTAGCTTTCATTCGACAATCAACGGTCTTTCCTTTCAGCTCGTAGTCTTGCTGCTGTTTCACACGGTGCTGCCAGTTGCGTCGTCAACCTCTCGAATGTTTCTCGGGCCGAACCAAATTAGTATCATTATGTATCATTACTTTATTAGCAGTGTGATAACGCTAAAGAACCCGGGGCGGGGGGTCACAGTCATGACTTTACAAATAACCCTAATTATTATCTACAGTATACGCATCAGATCACTACTAAGTTTTACAAAAATATTACTTTTCTGAAAGACCGCGTGGCTTGAACCCGTCATGAGATTTAACAATAAATATAGTTTTACCTCTATATTATTATAGTCATCATTCCGATACATGGTAAATGTTCCAGGAATTTGGAGTTCCACATGTCTGAAATGTAAAAGTATACAAATATATACTAAACAGCAAAAAAACAAACAAACAAAAAAAAAAACGTCAGTACGATTTCAAAATCAGAGAGGCACTTTAATCAAGCATTCTAGAAAACGACTTACTAAATGGACCAAAGCAATTGTTTGTGAACAGTATGTTGACACGTTAGTGATTAATTCATCACAATTCCAAAACATTACGAGAAGGTTTAGAGTCTCTACACAGTCTATTCATCAGTATCTGGTGTGTCCACCGCGTCTGTATATGGAGTGGACAAGACGATTGATAAACGCCATTGGCACCTGGAACGACACTTTTAGAAAAGCCTGGCGCAATCCATCGGCTGTGTTTGGTCTCGATACGACGTTATTAAGTCTCCTCTGAATTTCATCACAAAGATTTCAATCGGGTTTAAGTCCGGACTAAGAGCTGGTCAGTGCATTACGTTGACACCGTTTTGCTGTAGAAAGTCACGAGTAACTATGGTGGTGTGGGCACGGGCGTTATCATGCTGAAAAACGTTGTTCCGATGACGTGGTATGTGGTATGACTTGGGGTCTGAGAGCTTGATCGATGTAGCGCACTGCTGTGATGCCGCCTCCTCTCCGTTGACCAAGATTTTGGAACACCACGGGACCCACTCTCTGGTTCAGGCCGATTCCACCCCAAAGCATTATGCTTGGACCTCGTTCCATGACACATTGGTCAGAATAACGCTGGCCACGTCGATGCCATATTCTGGTGCTGCCATCTGCAGTTTATACGCAATTCCGACTCTTATCTGTGTCGGCAGTTCTGGTGTTGTTGGGCAAACTGAAGATCTTCACGTCGATGGCAGGGGTGAGGATCGTTTCGTTCCACGGTGAGGTCTACGGCAATGGATGTTCTGTCTGTTGAGACGTTGGCGCACTGTATTGGTAGTGATGGCTCTTCCGTGTGTTCCCACTGTCTGACGTGCTGTCTCAGATGCCCGTGTGAAGGGATTCTGCACGTGCTATCGCACAACATGGCGGTCTTGTCGCCTAGCGGTAACCCTTGGTCTACCAGTTCGGGGGCGATCAACCGTGGTGTTGGTGGCCCGAAATCTTTGCTGAAGCCTTAGATGGTCCGAACATTGACCTGAAAGTGATTGGCAACGGCTTGGGCAGTGTGGCCAGCGTCGAGTCTTCCAAGCGCCTGGTTTCTCTGAGCTGCCGTGCTGCTGACGTTGTAGTGTGAATAATTCAACCAGGTATAGACGTATCGTTTCAGAAACTTTAAAATTTAAATGATGACTGGTAAGGGAAACGGGCAAAATAGTTTCCCATGATCATATCCTAAAGAACCATCTCGCCGAGTTTTAAACAAGTATTTTAATATTTCGCTCGTCCGAGTGTAAGTAGGGAGATAACACTGAATTTCAGAACGAACAAAATGTAAATTTGGACAGGGTTCTTCCTTACGACCAAATGTTCGAACAATCCCTTAAGTTTTAACATATTGAACAAGAGCAGTAAGAGTGTGGAGCGTTCACCAAAAAAAAGTTGGACGAACACATTAAATATGGGAGAATACAAACTCGGACTACGCACACAGCTGTACTCTATGGGCATTGTCAAATCCAGTAAAATTTTAGGAATTCCGATTATAAACTGTCACGTATGATAATATCTTACTAAACAATTCGGCATACCTCCGGGACCCTCTACCCAGGATAAGAATCTCAGCTGTATACCCCTCTCACAAGCCCTGTAGTTCACGTGGTGGTATACATTTGTATAGTCACTCTAATGGTGGATTTTGGGAGAATCACACGTGCTCATATCATTCATTGATCATTTACGACATTTCAACTGTATGGGTATTGACTGTTATAATGATAATCTTAGCGAATTATGAGTAATAAAAGATAGTATATACACTTGTAGTTATTATATGAAATTGCAATGTGGACAATCGGGGAGACAGAAATGATATTTTGATTATCTGTTAAACAAATTATACTAAAATGTTACTTTTAAGGGTTACAGGTTGTTTTCTTTTATTATTGTGATCAAACTGAAATACATAAGCTCATAACAGGATAACCATCGTCAACTCGTCATCTTGAATGTGTCACTGGTATTAAGTTTTAGTGATTGATTGCTGCGTTTTTATCATCGAACAGAGCGACGAACAAGACATGATTAAGTGAAATGACGACAATAGATCTACGTATCTAATCAGTATATAAAACGTTACCTGTTACCGAAAGTTACAACATGCGGATCACCAGATACAACGCATTTCCTCCCTTCTATAGCCTTCGTGTCTTTTATTACATTCACCTACAAAAGGCAACAGCAATTAATCCAATATTTATATCGAACAGCAGATGGATGCCGAAAAGTACATTTTGACATAACTTTTGTACATGATGTTAAATACATCTTAGATACATAATCCTGCCACCCTTTTTAAATAAGTTCATGATCTGGTCAGTAGATCTACACCAAGCTATAATAAAAAATCTTCTGAAACTCTTATTGGGAGAACGAATTGCTGTTAGGGGTAGTAACTCCACGATAAGTTACCAACCTACACCACCTGCTCATTATGTTCAGTCAAACTATCAGAGAAATTTAAGTAATAAAGAGAAGAAATTAACGTTAGAACAATCTAGTTATAACAAATAATTCACGTGGTAGTTTAATTGAAGAGCAGCAAAATTTACTTTTATGGAATAAAACTGTTCAGATGCAAGAAGTGAACGAGACATTTCTCAATATCACGACCTTCAAATAAATATGTAACGATTTGTCTGATTTGACTATATCTGCATGTATGATTTAACACTAGAACGTCTGTCCCACTTGAATTGTAAAATAAAAGGACTTACCGTAACCGGAGCTAAAGTATAATTTCCCCATATTGGGTGTCCAAAGTACTGAACTGGGGAACGAAGTGTGATTTTCATAACATTGGTCTGTTGCCGATATTCACCTTCAGTAATTGAACCAGTAACCTTGATACTGTAAATCTGTTCCCATTTGTCAGGATTAATTTTCACCCCACAAGCCGTATCTGAACGAACTGTTGGAGAGCAGGTATCAGTCCCTATTGGTATATTCGCTATGACACCATATGTGCAATCACTATCAGGACATCCTATCTTTGCTGTAGCTTTTATACGGATCTCGCCAGATTTACCCTCTGTAACGGTAATCGTGGGCGTCAAAACCTGCAAAGCATATTTTGTATAAGTTGTAACATCAATGGTTCAGAAATATATAAATAAGCTTCGGGGGCTGAATAACCATCCGAGGCCAGTTTCAATTTCACGAGTGGTACCTCAAGTAATTCAGATGAAATTATATAGCTATTTTAGGCCCTGTATTTATCGGACTGACTACGGAAGGGTGCATATATGTTAAATGAAAACATGGGAACCCAAAAAGAGCACAAGTGGGTGTAATCGCCCATCAGCGTGTAAGTTATATCAATTTAATTTCATTAAAGTAACTATCTGTCATTTGTTTAGCGAACAGGTCATATATATATATATAAGACCATTCCAGACAGGGTTCCTTACAAACAGTGAGTAGGATACAACCTTCAGATAACATTCAGATGGACAGCTTCGGTGTACATGTATTCGAATTAGTACCAAGATTGTTACCTCATTCGTTCATTAATGCTATGGTATAGTTTATGTTGGTTGCTTTTAACCAAGAAATGAAATGAAATAAAATGGGGTTTAACGTCATACTGGTTCTGCTCCTACTAGGTTGGTCATGGATCACAACAGGTCCCGCATAAGATGTGGGGCACCGTGACATGGGTCATGGGTCAGTCTAGGTCACACATAAAAATGGTTGACACTCTAGCTGGGTTACATTGCTGGGTACATAGTGTGTAGAACCTATCTCTAAGTATTGACTAACTGGCCTATGTGTTAGAATATCTATATATGAAGTAGAAAGGGTTCATTGTGGTTACTATTCATGGAAATTCGTGAGAAATATACGTGTTGTCAGTAGTCGCTTAAACCCGTCAGTATTTGTACCGTCTGCCAGTATTCCTATAAATGGTCAGTAATAATCATAAGTCGAGTATTTAAATCAATTGGTTAGTTTTCTTTACTTGCGTCAGTATGTAAAAATAACGTGAGTAATTAAACAAACGTGAGTTAAGCCGATCATATCACTAGTCAGGCGCGTGCGGTAGAAATTGACGAAAGCGTGACTAATTAAGAATCCGTCACTATTTGAGGTCTACGTCACTATCAGAGTGAACCGTCAGTTATCTTTGATGTGCGTCAGTAACTGGATCCGACGCCAGTAGAGCGTGAAATCGTTAACTATATAAATTTCTGGCGAGTATTGTCTGCGATATCACCTCGGTGGAAGCGGACGTAAAATACAACTAACCCATCATCATCATTGTTAGTGTCTGCGATATCACCTCGGTGGAAGCGGACGTAAAATACAACTAACTCATCATCATTGTTAGTGTTTGTCTACGATATCACCTTAGGTGGAAGTGGACGTAAAACCCCAGAAACGAACGAACGAACGAACGAATTGTTAGTGAGTATCGTCGCTACATTCTGAATAAATTATTATTTAATTATTTACTAATATTCTCGAATCGGGAAATGTTTTTAAACAATAATGGATGGCAGCCAACACTAGGAGTATTTTTCGGCGATTTCGATTACCGCCGTAGTCTGCAGAATACGGAGCAATGTGAAGTGTTATTTAATTTACAATTTATATTTATTTTCGTTATATAACATGCGGATTGGCACATGTTCTGGGACTTGCGGCACTTTGATATCTGTATGGATTAAATTTGGAATCTCTGTATGGATTAAATTTGGAATCACAACTAATGGTTAAAAAAAAGATCAACACAAATCTGTTTTCACTAATTTTATTGAAACAGATAATATGATAGCAGATAACAGAAATAATGAATTTCATATACATACATACAAGCTGAAATTCTGAGCACTGAACAATCGTGTGAATATCTATATACATGTACATTATTATTGGTATCTTCAAATTTGCAACATATTACAAACCGATTCCTGATTAAAAAAAAAAAAAATAAAAAAACATATAATTCAAACGTCAACCCGACCATTTCAAGAATTGTCTGTGTGAAGGCGACTGCAGCTCGGTTGATTCATTTAAAAAGATAACTGATATTAAACTATACAATTGACTGAGCTATTCAGGGTTCATATTGGAAATATTTTGGTGTCAAGGCAACTGGAGTTCGGTTGCTTTATTTAAAAAGATAACTAATATTAAACTAAAAAATTGACTGAGCTATATCCGTTTGAGGTTGTTCGAGGAAAAGCAAGTTAAAGATATCGTTATATTCTAAAAGAAAATCACATAACAACCACGCCATATATTTGTTAATTTCTGTTTGATATTTCTCTCGGTGTTATAATTTAGAACGAAAGAGAATAGTCCATACATTAGTAATGTAGGTCTTGTATATTGAACTTTTATGGGAATAAATTCTGTTAATCTCACCACTTAATTAGCACCTTGGTGTTATATCAGGAGATTAAGAATGTTGATTGGGTAATCGAGTTTAGCCTCTTGATTATTATGTTTTGATATCTGTATGGATTCAATTTGGGATGACACCTAATGGTTAAGAAAGAACAAAGTAAATATATTTTCACTGCTTTTACTGAAACAAATATGTAAGCTGAATATATGAGAACAGAATAGTCATGTAAATATTTTTTTTTCTAAACAATATCTATTGACAGAAACTGGATTGGAGAACAGGCAAAAGCCTATATACCCCCTCTCCATAAAAGTACAAACATAAATATATAATGAAAAGTAAAGTAAAGTAAAGTAAACGGTTTAAATATAAGATGGCTATATACACTATATACACGATATGTACAAACCACAATCAGAATCTTTATATTTCATAAATTTACATACCGAATTTTCAAAATATTTGGGAGATGTCGAGGAAGTTATGTACTGCCGAAAAAATTTCTTCAGAATTGTTCCTGTCTTCAGTTCCGAATAATAAATTTTGAGAATTTTGATAAAGTTTTGGAAGTTTTGATATTGTTGCAGATCGTGCATCTGAACGTAAGGGACAAATTAAAAGAAAATGTTCAGAGTCTTCAAAGGCTTGACCACAATCGCATGTTGGGCTGTCAGAAATATGCCTGAGAAAACGATGTCCGTTTAAATGTAAATATCTTTTTACCTTTGAGAAATTAGCTTTTATAACAATTTTTAAAAAATATTTATAACGATGAAAATAGTAATAACATATTATATGGTATAATATACAATGCAAAACGTTCTACGCATGAATGCGCTACCCGACGGGGTAACAAATCGTTCGTTTGACACTTTATTTTATTTACTTTAAAAGAATAATTATTAAAGATTGAAATACAAAAAATCATAACTTGAACTGCCAAACGTTCTACGCACAAACATCTGCTACCTGACGGGATGGCAGTAAATTTTATTACCCTTTGAAAACATCATTCATTCAATAAAAACAATTCATAAAATCAAATGAAGACCGCCACAGCATACCCATCCACGTTATGGCTATCCAGACAGGGAGAGAGAGTTTCCACAATTTATCATCTTGGTACGCGTGCAAGAGAGGCGCGGATAAAAAACGAAAGTTAATATAGTTCTTTGAATTCATATTTTCTTTTCTTACATAATAGTAAAACGATTCCACATTACAAAATTTTAGTTTCCTGTGAGCTGTAATCAATTTTGCAACTCTTCCACAAAATAAATCACCGTTTTACTTCTACGTACACTTGTTCGTAAATTCGCTCCTGTATGTTTCAGAGAGCCATGGTGGCTAAGTGGGTAAGATAAAAATAAAGACGCTGGCTCGCTAGACAGGGAGGAGGTCGCGTGTTCGATGCATGAATAGTCGAGAAAGTTCATCTGGATTTTCGGGCGTGATTCCCCCTTGTCTGTAGTGAAGGACGGCTGTCTTGTCGTTCGGGGCGACAAAAAACCAAGATCCTGTGCATACATTGGCGTGCACGTAAAAGGTCAATTGGCAGTTGGAATTCAATATAAGAGTAGGCCATAGTACCGCCACACTGTATGGCATATGACAGTCTTCATAAGCGCAGGACATTAAGCATTTCCTTTCTTGCGTTTTCATTGTTGTGACAATCTTTTCCTCATAAAGATTACCATCGTCGGAGCAATGGCCGCGCTCTATCTCATCTCTATTCCTGTTAACTAAACCACAAAATTTTAAGATAGCCGTCAACCAGTGGGTTTGGAATATTGAAACGTAAAGCATGTTCAATACTAAGATTAAGATAAAGAGCTGGCCATTCTTACTATATTTCAAAAATAGACAATGCAGAGGGCCGACCGATCAGTCTCCTTAAGTAATACTTGGCATCGTTGTGAAGCCGTGAATCTCTAGTTTATGAATTACCGATAATCCCAATTTTAAGTCCAGACACCCGGCGCGGCCCATTGTGGTATCATGGCTACGTTCATTACCCTATCTGGGGTTCGGATTCTGATACCATTCCGGTACCTGAAAATAAAAGTAGACCTATCGTACACGCAAAACCTTATTTTAATTGAGTCATGTTACGAAGGTCACAGAAGATACGTTTAGCTCGATTACCCAATCAACATTCTTAATCTTCTGAGATTAGAAAAAAATTATTCCCATAAAAGTTTAATATACAAGACCTACATTACTAATGTATGGACTGTTCTTTTTCGCTCTAAATTTTAACACCGAGAGAAATATTAAACAAAAATTAACAAATATATGGCGTGGTTGCTATGTGATTTTTTTTTAGAACATGCTTTTCCTCAAACGGATATAGCTCAGTCAATTTTATAGTTTAATATTGGTTATCTTTTTAAATAAAGCAACCGAACTCCAGTTGCCTTGACACCAAAATATTTCCAATATGAAACCTGAATAGCTCAGTCAATTGTATAGTTTAATATCAGTTATCTTTTTAAATGAAGCAACCGAGCTGCAGTCGCCTTCACACAGACAATTCTTGAAATGGTCGGGTTGACGTTTGAATTATATGTTGTTTTTTTTTGTTTTTTTTTATCAGGAATCGGTTTGTAATATGTTGCAAATTTGAAGATACCAATAATAATGTACATGTATATAGATATTCACACGATTGTTCAGTGCTCAGAATTTCAGCTTGTATGTATGTATATGAAATTCATTATTTCTGTTATCTGCTATCATATTATCTGTTTCAATCAAATTAGAGAAAACAGATTGGTGTTGATCACAACAGGTCCCGCATAAGATGTGGGGCACCGTGACATGGGTCATGGGTCAGTCTAGGTCACACATAAAAATGGTTGACACTCTATTTGCAATATGAACCCTATCAGTTATCTTTGTAAATAAAGCAATCGAACTGCAGTCGCCTTGACACGGACAATTATTTTTGAAATGGTCGTGTTGACGTTTGAATTATATTGGTTTTTATTTTAAAACAGGAATCGGTTTGTAATATGTTGCAAATCTGAAGATACCAATAATAATGTACATGTATATAGATATTCACACGATTGTTCAGTGATCAGAATTTCAGCTTGTATGTACGTATATGAAATTCATTATTTCTGTTATCTGCTATCATATTATCTGTTTCAATCAAATTAGAGAAAACAGATTGGTGTTGATCTTTTTTTAACAATTTAATCCATACATTGATTCCAAATTTAATCCATACAGAAATCAAAGTGCCGCAAGTCCCAAACATGTGCCAATCCGCATGTTATATAACGAGAATAAATATAAATTGTAAATTAAATAACACTACCCATTGCGCCGCATTCTGCAGACTACGGCGGTAATCGAAATAGCCGACAAATATTCCTATTGTTGAATGCCATCTATTATTGTTTAAAAACATTTCCCGATTCGTAAATATTAGTAAATAGTTAATTAATAATTTATAAGCGACGATACTCACTAACAATACTCGCCAGAAATTTATATAGTTAACGATTTCACGCTCTACTGGCGTTGGGTCCAGTTACTGACGCACATCAAAGATAACTGGCGGTTTCACTCTGATAGTGACGTAGACCTCAAATAGTGACGGTTTCTTAATTAGTCACGCTTTTGTCAATTTCTCCCGCATGCGCCTGACTAGTGATATGATCGGCTTAACTCACGTTTGTTTAATTACTCACGTTATTTTTACATACTGGCACAAGTAAGGAATACTAACCAATTGACTTAAATACTCACCTTTTGATTATTACTGACCATTTATAGGAATACTGACGTACGGTACAAATACTGACGGGTTTTAGCGACTACTGACAACACGTATATTTCTCACGAATTCCCATGAATAGTAACCACAATGAACCCTTTCTACTTCATATATAGATATTCTAACACATAGGCCAGTTAATCAATACTTAGAGATAGGTTCTACACACTATGCATGTTACCGTGTTATGGGTCACGCTATGCCATACATAAATATAGTGTGACACTTGATTGGTCATGGATCACAATAGGTCCCGCATAAGACTTATGGGGCACTGTAGGTTGGTCAGGTGACAAGCTAGGCCACTTATAAAAACTGTGGGGCACTCTAGGTGGGTCATAGGTAAGTGTTTTTCAGACGATAATTTCTCCCGTTTACACCATTCAGCACGTCATTTTCTGTATAAAGCATCCCAATGCAAGTTGTAAGCAGTCTTCGGTGGCGTTTGTTCTTTTAGTAACAAACAAAAGGAGAGGAAAGTCGGAGCAGCTTAAAAGTTCATCAAATTAGTATGAGTTTGATCCTGGTAAAAGATCATGCCCTACATGCAGAAAAAATGTATAAGGGATCAGGACTTTATTCACTGTATAAATACAACATTGGTTTCATTCTACATGGGTAAATATTGAAGACTTTCCGGCCTGGGGAAAGGCATGTTATTTTTCGCGTGGACTTTGTGCCTTTAGTGATAACTTTACTTTCAACTATAATGGATCATTACCCAGATGAGTAGATTACTACGAGTTTCATTTGAAATTTTAACTCTTGTAATCCCCGAGTGAATATTTCATATATTAGCCATACAATTTAGCTGGATTAAGTCCGTATGACGCTGGCGAAGCACGCTCGCAAACGGGTCAGTGGACCATCAAAGTGTCAAAATCTTATAGAACAGTCAAGAAAGACAAATATGTCTGTTTCAGCGCTGATAAGCGTCCCTGTTGTGGAAATATGGACTTTTAAAGTTAACCTACTCACCCTGATTTAAATTTTATATTCAGGCGAACTGATCAACTTTCAAAATCAACTTAGGCCTTAGTGCACTGGATATGACACAATAGATCATCAGTGGTAAACTATGACATAATAGACAATCAAAGACAGACCATTAGTGGCGGATTACGGCAGACATACCTTCGGTGGTGCACTGGGCAACAGACCATCAGTTGTGTACAGGGACACACAGACCATCATTGGTCGACTGGGCCACAGACCACCAGCGGTGGACTGGCCCACCTACCATTAGTGGTGGAATGGAACACAGGCCATCATTTGAGGACTGGGCGACAGACCATCAGTGGTGGACTGGGACGCAATGACCACCAGTGGTGGACTTGGACATAGACCAACAGTAGTGGACTGCAACACACAGACCATCATTGATGCATTGGGACACACAAAATACCAGTGGTTGGCAGCTACTGTGGCTCAGCGGGTCGGACGTTGGCTGATTAACGTAGAGGTAGCGTGTTCGAACCTTGCACTGGCCGAGACTGTTCATCGAGATGTCAGTGATGCAGATCAGGGGACCGAACAAGGAACAACGTATAGTCGTTCGGATGGCATGAAAAACAGAGGTCCTGTGTACACATTGGCGTGCACGTATAAGATATGGGATTCGATATAAGAGTAGCCCGTGGTGCCGCTAGTCCACACCATGGCCCTCATAGCGTATGCCTGTCTTCAGTAACCCATCGGAGTAGGACGTTAAACCCCATTTCATTTCATTTACTTCCATCAGTGGTGGCCTGGGACACACATACTATCAGTGGAGGACTAACACACATACCATCAGTGGTAGCCTGGAACACACATACCATCTGTGGTGAACTGGGACACACATACCATCAGTTGTGGACTATGATACAATAGACATTCAGTGGTAGACTGGTCCACACTGATCCATCACTGGTGAACTGGGCCACATATCATAATGGGCCACAGATCATCAGTGGTGTACTATGATAGACTTGAAAGTTGATCGGTTCGCCTGAATATTGCATCCATAATTAAAATCAGGACGAGTAGAGTAACTTTAAAAGTCCATGTTTCCACAACCGGCCCCTATCAACGCCGAAACGGCCGTGTATGTCTTTTTGTGACTGCTCGGTAAAATTTTGACACTTTCATGGCCTTAAATGTTCTCTAAAAAGCAGGCGGTGAGATAATTTCTTCATTCTATCCAGAGACCCTTCTGCGAGTGTGCTTCGGTAGCGTCATACGGATATAATCCAGCTAAACTTTATGGCTAATATCTTAATCTTTCACTCGGGGATTACAAGAGTTAAAATTTCAAATGAAACTCGTAGTAATCTGCTCACATAAGTAATTATCCATCAAAGTTGAAAGTAGAGTCAACACTAAAGGCACAAAGTCCACACGAAAAGTAACCTGCCTTTCGCTAGGCCGGAAGTAGCTCTTTAATATGTGCACATGTGGAATGAAACCAACGTTTGCATGTATTACAGGAGATGAGACTGAAACTTATATGATGATTTTTTTTTAGGCCGCTCCGACTTTCCCCTTCTTTGAAGCCATATATAGTCGTTCGGATGATACGAAAAACGGCGGTCCCTTGTACACATTCGCATGCAAGTAAAAAACCTCTTGGCAGATGGAATTTGATATAAAAGTAGGCCGTAGCGCCTCTGTTCCGGCAAAATATTCCTCATAGCACACTGTACGGGGCATGACTGTCTGCTTTAGCCCTGCCGGAGCAGAATAGTAGAAAGTTAAAATACAGAAACTATCTCTCACTGCATTTCAATGAATTCTTTACGTGAGTTACTATTTCATCTATGTAAAATAATGTACGATTGGCGCGTTGTTCGTACCATTATGTCACATAATTAACATTTAATAAAACAAAATTCATGAAAATTTAATGATCTCACAAGACACTTTTTTCCTACTGTCATACATCACAATTGGTCGACATATATATAGAAATTAACAGGATGGAACTAACCTCTATTCCAATAAATATTGGTTTACTCGTAGATGGAATTCCTGCCGGTCCGTTGACGCCTCTGCCTGCTCTAATTTCACAATAAATCTTGAACGAAAAATAATATTAAATTGTAATAAAAAATATTATGGGAATCGGTACCAGGTGGTTTACAGAAACAGCGCAAGAGTTCATAATGCCATGTCAAGTTAAGGGAACACATAATTATTTGCCCGTTCTGTAGTGGAGTAGGAGCATGAACAAAAATTGATTTTACTCTTGATTGGTGTGAATTTAATATGGCCAAACCCTACCAATAATGGTTTCATTTAAGGACAAAGGTGGTTGTGTGAATTACTGTAATTATAATGCTATTATTCAAGGTATTTTAATTAGGTTGCATTTTACTTATTTTGGTAGATGTAAATATATTATAATCCAATCTTACATCAAAGCCAACCGTGACCACACGCTGTTCCCGTAGTTTAGCTTCTGTCAGAACTCGTTCGTTGGCCGGATCAGCATAAGCAGCTAAAGGTGAACTGTATATAAATCGGTTGTTCACGTACCTGGATAAAAACAGCAACAAGCGTCAAACCTTGTGGTGTAATATATCATTTTATAGGTTTTGTTGGCCATCCGATTCACTCTGGACAGTTTCCGAATCATCTCACAAATGGTGGATTCAAAATAGAGGCCAAAATCCAAAATGGTGACAGAAATTGGCGCGAAATGTATTCTTTCAATACCAATAGCAACTTACATTAAAGTTACTGAATATTATTTTTTTAAATAATAATGACCGCTTCGAAATTGGGCCATTGTCTACGTACTGAAGTCCTAACACAATTAAGGATCAAATAGAAGTTATCATACACAATTTGCTTTTTTTCATAATGGATGAATGGATTTCCGTGAAATATTGTAAGGATCACCCTAATATTATAAATATAAGAGTTTGTCTGAAAGTAATTGAATGCATTTGCTCGAACCCATAGTTTGGGTGAAACAGCCCCTTGATTGAGCAAATTTTTGACTCCTCTTCAACAAAGTTTGGGAGGTATGTTGATTGTGTGATGCTTGTCCAGGGCCCGATTCCTAGAAAATTCTTAAGCACGTTCTTGTGCTTAGATTTTAAGTAGACTTCATTGTAAGCACAAGAACGTTATGATGCGTTCCAAGAAAAAACTTAAGCACAACTTCGTTCTTAAACATAGTCAATCTAAGCACAAGTCCCAAGCAAGGTATATGGCTTGCTTACCAACCTAAAGTCTGTTTCTGATTCAAAGAGATGGCTGACCGTAGAGTTATTCGACGGCATTTACGACACCTTTTGATACCAAAGAGACAATTACAAGACAGAGAAAATCCTTCTCCAAAAGAAATTAAGAACACACCGACTACTTTTAGATCAGGCGCTCCCACAATTATTCAGTTAGTTTGTATGTGTCTGCGTTATTTATCTTGTGGCACATTTTATATGTGTATAGGGGACATGTCAAATGCATCTAAATCAACCATGACGTCAATGAAGCAGACGACAAATTTATGACGTAATTCGCATACCAAAGTTGTTTTAATGACGTTAAAGGGCGTCGTAGTTTCAGTTTATGGTAAACTTTACCAGTCACAATGTGCTTAGACTTATACTTGACTTGCGCTTACGTACGAATGGTCTTGAGGTTTTTCTAGGGACGGTATTTTTATAAGTTTCTTATGTAAGAAAAAGTGAAGCACGATTGTGTGCTTACTTAAAGAATTTTCTAGGAACCGCGCCCTGGTTTGTTCAGCTGGGTTGGAAATGGACCAGCGGTGTGCACTTGCGGGAAAAGGATGATGCGGTGCGTGGGGGTGGGGGTTGTGGTGATTCTCATAAAACTCATGATGGAGTGCAGCTAAATTCAGAATCTAATGCCAGGATTATGCAGAAACAGCTTATAAGAGAAATATTTTTTGAAATATTTAAATTCAAAATGTTCCATAAAAAGCTGCTCCCGCATGGTCCTCGCAATAGGTTCAAAATTTAGTTGCAATTCACCATGAGTTTGAGGAGAATCACGAAGTCCACAATGTCTAAAAATGTCTCTTCACAGTGCCCATTTCTACAGGGATATGATTATGCTGGGGCCATTATATGACACGACCGCCAATCCCATCTATCTTCTATACTAATATTTGAGACTGTCGTTTGTCTGTCTCTGTTCGGGGTCGGCGGCTACACTAGGTCTGCCCCGAGTCTGAAATTTGGGGTATAGGGGTAGCTCGGACCGGGGAGTAACATAGGCCAGGTGGCGTTAGTCTACCACTTCCGGTTTCGGAGTTATGACCCCCGAGTGAAGGCGGGTATCCTGCTAGTACTCAATAAATTGAAATGAAATGGGCTTTAGCTCCGACTGGGCTAATGAAGATCGGATATACTGAATAAAAGGGCCTACTACTGAGAGAAAAAACAAAACATTTCAAATATGTAAAATCGATGAAATAATCCCATTTCTTGCTCCTTTCGATGAACACGGATCTGGGCAAGCACCCCCCCCCCCTCTCCCCAATCAACATACCTGCCAAATTTTCTAGAAACAATCAAGGTGTCTTTGCACCTATATCTAAACAACCGCAAACTAAGTAGCATTTATACCAATATCTATCCAAATTCTTCAAATATTTTCACACAGACTCTTATCTTTATAATCTCAGGGTAATCCTTACAACATTTCAGATAAATCCATTCAGCCATTCAAAAAGGCAGATTTTGTACAATAACATCTATTAAACCCTTAAATGTGCTGGGCCTTTTTTATAAGCAATATTTTATTCAGATTTGTATCTGAATAGGGATTGGGGAACAGGCATAGCCTATATTACCCCCCCCCCTCCCTGTCAGATATAGATACATGTATTTACATTTTAGAAATTAATAATCAATGTACACGTGCAAGTATGATTATAGTGAGAATATATTTACATTGAGTGTTTATAGTTGTCCCTGGAACCGTCTGGTGATTTCAAAAAACGAATGGACAGTTTTAAAAATATTGAGTGAGTCTTCCACGTCGTCAATTCCGTACAATAAAACAGTAGTGTTTCGATGACTAGTCGATAAATTATTTATTGTTTTATTTCGGTGTCGTCAAATTGATGTCCACAATTACAGGATGGATTGTCAGAAATGTGACGTAAAAATTTTATGGCCGTTTAGATTGCTGCAAGAGAGACGCAGTTTAGAATGAATAATTTGGTTTGTGCGGGATCCAAACGAAAAGGTTTTTGGTGGTGTTGAATCTTGAGCCATAAGTTTCGAATTGAAAATATTTAGAGATAATGAATCAATACTAAAATCGCCAAATATAAAACAATTATCGACATTATGGCATATTGACTTAGCAATCGAATCAAAAATTTTATTGTTTTGTTCGGCAGTAGAATTTGGAGGTCTATAAAAAGTTCCTATTAAAATAGTTTTATTTGGGGTATTTAATTGTAACCATATGCACTCTGTACCGTTGACTTCCAGGTCAGGTCTTCTTTTCACAGAAAGTGTGTCCCGTATGTAAGCCACAACACCCCCACCCTGTCCGTACGTCCTGTCATTTCTTATAGGTGCGTGGAAAGAACTTAGTAATAATGTACTTTTGTCTACTGATTTATCAAGCCATGACTCGGTTAAAAGAATAACGTCAAATTTTTCGGAGAGTTCAGCTGCTAAAGTATCAACTTTGTGACGGACGCTCCTTATATTCAGATGGACGATAGAATAGTTGCGGGGAGGGCCAGGATTGCTTTCGATATCACCAGAGACTAAGAGGGTCATAAATATAATATTTGGGACATAATGAAAAAATAACAAACAACAGACAAAAATATAAACAACAGAAAGACACACATAAACGTAATTACTTGGTGATGTACATTGAAAATAATTTTGAGCATTTACATACGTTGGAAAATAATATAGATATTTACAATAATATTGGTAATCACATCTATATACATATTTACAAATAAAGGATCAATGATCACGGAACGGTATTTATGCGGCGCTGTGCGTGGATTGATACCGAGTAAAAAGAGCACGAAAAAAAGAGAGAAAACGAACTCAAAACAGTCGACCCCCCCGCCCCCAAGAGAACAAAAAAAACTTTAAAAAAAAAGAAACCTGCCGTAGTGTAGTGTTGTGCGAATGCACGGGTCATGTGATATACTGTTGATTTTGGCATGTTAAGCACGACTATGGCCGGAAGAGTGTAACAGGGTGAGGGAGTTCAAGTTAAACAATACTTGTCCGATCGCTAACCCGCTGTGTCACCAAAATCAATATGATTATATTAGGTTGGCCGTTTGTTGACCGCAGTATCACCAGCATTCAATATGATATTCATTGTGTAGTTCTTTATTTTATATAGTTAATATCAATAATATATGTATATGCACGTTTTAATTAACTTCTTAAGATATCAAAGTTTGGTATAAATTAGCTGAGGTTTTAAGACAAATCAGTGTGGAGCTGGGAAGCTCACAAGAGAAGGGTCTCTCGATGTTCTAACATTGTAATAATGTTGATAGAATAAAATTGATGTCCAATCCAGATTTGAAATTATGTTATAAACATAAGCTTGGTGACCGTGTCCAGCGAACAACTGAGGTTGTACGAAAACATGCAGAAGGCGGTGATAGCTGAATAATATCCAGTTATGAAAATAACAACAGCAAATGCAGAAATGGAGGCGAATGTTTTTAGTATAATTTTACGCGAGAAAGACAGGATGGTACGGACACAGAAGAAAAGAGGACTGCATGGCCATGAAAGAAAAAAAACAAGAATCAAATTAACTGTAAATCGTTAAAATGTAAAATATTAGTAGTATAAAGGTGAGTCGTTTTGCTTTAAAAGAATATAATTGATTTTTGTTTAATTTTGAACACATCTTTCGGCATAATATGAGAAATATTTAGTTAAAAGAAATAGAATAAATATGTATTCTTAAAAGAATTGAACTGTTTTGTGCTTGTCTCAAAGATTTTTGTAAAATGCTTAAGACGTCTTCCGTTAATTTTCGGTTTTTGATTAGAGAGACAATCCCAAAATTAATGTTTTATCTTCCTATAAATATGTTTTTATGTATACATGTATATTTTTCCCGACTATTAATGGGACGTATTTATATTGAATTCCTAAAAGAGTGGAATATGTACCCTCAAAGGTAGGGTTAGCTCAAGTAAGAGCATTATGGTAGATTTTTTAAATGTGTATTACCCTCAGTGAAAGGGTTAGCTCAGGTTAAGAGCGTTACGGTAGAATTTTAGTTTGTATTGTCGTTTGTTTTGTATAGGAAGATAAATCAGTTGAAAATTTGATGCTTTATAAAACAGAAACTATCTTATTGAAGATAATTATATGTGTTCAAAATATTCATGATCGATTATCTCAAGTAAAAGCAATTTGACAAGACCCTATTTTTAGTATTAGCTATAAATTCTTTAATTTAATTGGTTTTTTGGGGGTTTTATTTTTAATTGTTGTGTATTTTCAATATGATTACTTACTATTTAATTACTAGTAAAATGTATAAAA